AATTCCCATACATATAATAAATATATCAGATAACATACAGAAATGGCTAAGAAAATACCATTTACCCTCTTAGAGTAAAGAAACAAGATATTGATCAGAAAGTACCTTACAGACTCGATCTAGAAAATAACTCTTATACTAGTTAGTCCTAGAATACCCATCTCATAGTAATTAATCTAAGAATAGGCATCTTATAGAAGAATCACAACCTCTTGTATTAGAAGGGCACTTAGAGATTAATTCATATCAGATTAGCCCATCTCAGAGTAGTAAAATCCACTCTAGAAGTACCTTTCTCTGACGCACTTGTGTTCAGGCCAAAATCTCATGTACTGCAGAGCCATTTGTCTATAAATAGAGGCTCTTCTGGCCCAGGTTTTCCTCTTCCCTCCTCATGTTTGCACCAGAGAAGTAATTAGAGATATTACTTAGCACTCATCAAAACCAGATGCTAGCTACAGAATAGTAATAAGAGATATTACTCAGCTTTCATCACCCTTTTGATTAAGAGATCCAGAGGTTATTAGAGCCCTTGAACTTCCCTTATCTCACTTTTTGGCCATAGACAAGTAATTCAGAGATATTGCTTAGCCATCCTCAATTCCTTTGCAACAGAAATCAGAGAAATACGCGTACCCTTTATCAGAGCCCAGAGAGACCAGAGCATCAGAGAGAATTTATATCAGAGAAACCCTTCAGAAACCCTTACTCCCCAGAAAACCCCATAAACTCCTTACCTCATCAACAGGTATTCTTAAGCAACAATAACAGCAGTATCAACACTAAGATAAATTTAGAAATAAGCCACACTCTTATTTTTCTTAGTGTAACTTTCCCGCAAGCTAGACAGGAGGGCAGTCTCACCCACACACCAATACTAATTCTACTATTCAATAGTCTTATTAGCTATTTTATCCCCTCCAAGCTCTTTACTCACTTGCTGAGCAGTTCCACACCGTACCGTTCAGGACAAGTCCACCTGCTAACCACAAATCAAATGGGTCGGATGAGAAATCCCCCCCTCGGGCTGCAGCAGTGTGTCCCAGTCCGGCAAGCATACCAGTTTTGGGCTGTGAGAAGTGGATAAAAACGGCTTCAGTCTTGGTACTCAGTAAAGATATGTCCAATGTTTTTACCTTGGAGCTTGAAGTCGTATTTGGTGCTGGTGCAGGGGAGGAAAGAGTGATTGGTTTTGGCTTGTAAAACAATATCCACATGTCCCTCGCTAGTCGTATGGCTTTGGAGATCCACTCAGGCTCCCAGTTGGCCAACTTAAAGTACTCGTCTCTGAACAACGGGTGAAGCACTGAAAAACTGTGTCAGTAATGAGCTGCCATTAAGAAGAGAAAGATACATACATATTGCTATCCTATGAAGTGGAGATGCATCTGTCAAGCTATAATACTTGTTTGTTACTTTAAGTCCAAGTCGGCAGGTGTTCCTCAATGCCGCAGGGTAATTCTCATTGCTGATAACTGTTGAAAGGTGCTCGGTGATTTGATCGATGTATAGAACGATGTTCGATAAGCGAGCTGATCCAGCCACTGACAGTTGTAAAGTGATCTTGTAAAAAACATTGAGGACCTCGACAAGATCCCGCGCTAACTTGAAGTCGCCCTCATCCAATTGATACGCACGGTTGACACTGTGTCGTTTATGGTGCTGCCACTCAAGTCTTGGATTGTGATTATGTCAACTATTTGAGATGAAACACAGGTGGAAGGAAGACTTACATTGCATCTTCACACCTGATTATGCTGTTGAGTTGTGCACTGGTTGAATTCCATTGAGTTCGCACATCCCTTTCAATGTTGTGAGGGGTTGCGCAAACTTTCTCCTGACAGATCTCTACAAACTCGGCTTTGGAATTTGGAGAAAACCTCAATTTCTTAGCGATCACACGAAACTGTAACAAAATATAAAATCAATGAATTGAACAAATCATCTACTTAAACAGGTACTAACTTTTGCCAAGGTCTGCTTGCAGGATTCAGATGTGTAGCAATCTTCTTTGTCTTCTTCACTAGCCTGTTTGATGTCGGCCTCGCTGAGGGATTCCGTCTTGTCTTCATCTGATTCAGAATTGGAGTCGACATCGCTTAAATTGTGTAAGGATTCCTCATCTTGCAAGGTGGGTTTGTGCCCGCGCGGAAGCCTAGCATTTTAAAGACAAATCAGCATCAAAACATAATACAATCAGGTATTTAAATTGAACATTACATGCTTATTTGCTCCTCGGCGAGGTCTTCATCGGAATCAATTCCATCAGAGTTTGATCCCGGATTTTTAGTTGCACCTTTCTTCTTTGGAGTCCCAAACGGGCGGAGTATAGCTTGGACAATAAGGTTGAGTATGTGAGCAAAACACCGGATCCATTGTGCTTCACCTTTAAAGCAAGGCCACTTCAGCTTCTTGAGCTCCCGAACCATTAACTCATTATTCTTGGCGTTATCAGTCACAAGTCCACATATCTGAAGAAAACGGTATTAGTCAGCACTTCAATAGAAAGATATTATTCAGCATTTCAACATAATGAGACAATCCAGTAACTCTTGGCTGACCTTATCTTGGATTCCAAATTTCTCCGCAACTAAACGTACTGTGTTGGCCAGGTACTCTCCAGTGTGGCTTTTGGACAAGCGAATGAAGTCTAACGGCATCGCTTCTAACTTGGCAGGGCTAGCCTCTTCAACTAATCTATAGATGACAATACCTAAAATATCGAATCCGTTTGGGGATTGCCATTTGTCAACACTAGGGTTGTCGGCGCCACTTTTGAAAAAGTGCGCGCCGACGGGCGCCAACCAGGCCCTCTGAAGGGGCGCGTCTTTGGCTGGCGCAGGGGCGGCGCGCCCAGGCGCCATTTTTTATTTTAATTGCTCACGTTATAGCTCATAATAGTAAGAAAACAAGTGGAAAAAGAAATTGATTTATGTGTGCAGGCCAAAAGGAAAAGGAGGAATGATCGCAAACATTGAGAAAACCACAGATCAGTGGGGTTCCAGTCGGTTTCAGCAATCGGATTGGTTTCGGTGTCTTCAATTTCGATCACATCGTTATCCGGTTGCGGTGGAGCGGTTATGAAGATTTGTTGTTTCGGGTGGGTGGCATGGTGGATGGTAGAAAGTTGGGCAGAGATTGGACTGGTTGAGTATTGCCTATCTGAAGAAATTTTAACCGGAGATGAAGAGAATTTTTGGGCAACAAAAATAAGTTTTTGTTGGAGAGACTCAATGTAAACCCCCTCTCCGGCTGGGTTCACCAACCTACCACACACATGTCACTCTTCCCTTTTAGTTTTGTTCTTTCAGTTCTTCTTCCTGGCTCTGCAGAGAATTGCTCCCTTCCATCTCTCTGAGCCAGGTGAGTCCAAATTTCCTTTCTTCTTGTTCTCTTTCCTTCCTCTCTCTTTCTAGATTGTACTGAGAGAATTGCTCCCTTCCATCTCTCTAAGCCAGCCAGTAATAAAAGCTCCTGTGTTTGGTCTTAGAAACTTCTAGGCTCTCTTGCCCGTCTCTTGCACCATATCTTGACTGATCTAGTGAAGGACACTCTCAGTCCTTACACTTTTTTTTTCTCACACCAAACCAACCCCACTGAATTTTTCAACTGACTTAATGACTCGACTCGACGGCCTTGACTGAACCCACTCAACTGAACCTACTTAACTACACTGACTTGACTGACCCGACTGGCCCGACTGACGACTGACTGACTGTTCCGACTTACAATTAACTGACTGCTCCGACTGAACCCCCTTCAACGACTCGACGGACCCTTACCCCTTCAACTACTTCCTTCTTACTCTTACTGACTACCTCCTTGCCTTACCATCTGTTTATCGGGTCGATCCATGACCACAAGAAACAACACTGGCCCCAACAAACTCCTTCCGCTAACGGACCCTGAAGCCATCATTCGAGCCGGGAACGCCGAAAACCGCCGCACCAAACAACTTCAAGCTATCTCAACTGCCCCTCGTCTACCCGATTCAACCAAAATGTCTGACGAAACGACCCCGGCTCATGAAACATCGGGGTTGACTCGCACTGTGGAAGCAGCGGATATGCAGACAGCCAAGGACTGGTTCAAGTCCGTCTTCAAGATCCAGCACGCAGCCATCGTCGAGGCACAGGCCGACCGTCGTCAAGCCGCTGAAGATCGCCGACAAGCCCTAGAGGACCGCCGTACGGACCGACAAATCCTCATTTCCGCTCACCAATCCAACGCTGCCCGCATCGCTCGCTTGGAAGACCTCCTCCTAGCAATGAATATCAAAAACGAAGCGAATGCCCATCCGGTACAGCCTTCCCCGGGCCGAGTTGACCTGCAAAAGTTCCGTACGTCGGACGGCCCAATCTACCGGGGACCGTTCCAGGAAACCGAGCCATTCCTGCGATGGATCCATGGCGTACAAATTTTCTTCGACACTAAAGACGTCATCAACGCGGCCGACAAGATTAGGATTGTTGGCAACTTGATCGCGGAGACTAACCTACAGTCCTTCTACGCGAACGAAGCAACCGGATTCCTCACCAAGTTGTGGGAGGAATTCAAGACTCGGCTGTTCGATTTTGCTCTCCCCTCCAACTGGCGGTCGAATTTGCAACAACAGGTCCGGAAACTCGAAATGTCCTCGAGCGAAACCTTCCTCGAATACAGTACGCGAGCACGTACGCTGCAAAGCCTTTTCAACTTCGACGCCGCGGCGAGTGCGAAGCTCGGGGACCTACAACTAGCACAATTCTTAGTTTACGGGTTGACGGATGCTTTACAGGATCAAATCAACGAACGCCAGCTCCTCGAGACGGTCCCATTTGCCTATGGCCCGTTCGAGAAGCAGGCTAATACGTCCTTCCTTGCATTGCAACGCCCTGCCGGAACACCAGCCTCGCTCCGTCCATCGTCGAATACATCACCGAATCTATCCCGGGACGAATTCATCTGGCGGGTACATTCTTTCCTCGACTCGCGGGGCCTCTGTCACTTCTGCAAGAAACACTGCGGCAATGTGAACGGTGGTTGCCCAGGACCTTTAAATAGGGCCCATGTCGACATCCCAGCTAACTATCAAGCCCCCACAAAACCGGTCGACTACTCATCCCCACGCGCTTGGAGTAACCCATCCGGCCCATTGTCCACCCCAGGAAAACCCACTCAACCTCCCGCAGGTCGACCTTCAACCCGGGCCGCAAGCGTCGCAGGCGTTACAGACGTCACACCCCTTGAAGCTCAAGTCTCGGCACTACAACTAGATGCAGCAATACGGGAGGATGGCCGTTGGGACACTTACTTCGACGACGAAGGTTGCTATCCTAGTATGGATCCGGCCGCTGTGGCGGCACTCGAGGACCTTGACAAGCAACTCCTCGCAAACGAGATTGAGAAGGCCGAACAGGCCGACCTAGCAGATGCTATAGCGGGTTGCCCGGGACGCGCTTGACTCGGGTCTTGCCCCATATCCCCCCTTTTTTCTTCTTCTTTTCCACTTTTTTTATTTTTTTTTTCTTCTCAAATTTTGTTTTTTGTTCCTTTTCTCCTTTCTTCAATTTTTTATAGGAGGGGAGACTGTAAACCCCCTCTCCGGCTGGGTTCACCAACCTACCACACACATGTCACTCTTCCCTTTTAGTTTTGTTCTTTCAGTTCTTCTTCCTGGCTCTGCAGAGAATTGCTCCCTTCCATCTCTCTGAGCCAGGTGAGTCCAAATTTCCTTTCTTCTTGTTCTCTTTCCTTCCTCTCTCTTTCTAGATTGTACTGAGAGAATTGCTCCCTTCCATCTCTTTGAGCCAGCCAGTAATAAAAGCTCCTGTGTTTGGTCTTAGAAACTTCTAGGCTCTCTTGCCCGTCTCTTGCACCATATCTTGACTGATCTAGTGAAGGACACTCTCAGTCCTTACACTCAAGGATCGGAAAAAGAGAGAAAGAGCCAATGAGTTTTTTACTTAGAGGAGACTACGTGTTAAATAGTCTACATACAAGAGGTCAAACATGTGGTCGAGAGAAAAATGAATATCATAATGAATAACAAAAAATAAACAAATTCTTGAATAGATGACTGGAGCAAATGACTATTGATAAAGACTAGACCAGGGTTTGAAGACTAAAAGGATTGCAGCACTAGACAACAGGACAAGATACCACGCAGAAACTAAAAAAAATTGTATAATAATTTGAATTCTATTATTTAATCATTATTAATTAAAAGACTAAACAGAACAGGATTTTTAGGGATGAGGAGAGAGAGAGATGAAATTCCAACACTATCTCACTTTCTGATGTCCATTCACCAACCCTCCTCCCCCCCCTACCGCTGGGACTGATGGGGACTCCCCCCCCCCATCATTCCCAACTTTGAAATGAAGTGCCTGACAGGCTACAGCCTACAGCCTGTCAGTCCGACTGTCCAATGCCCATCATTCGTGCAGGGAGAGCTGCTGGACTCTCTAGGCCGTCCCTGAAAAGTTAGGGTTAGAGGTGCGCGCCACCCCACCTTTTTGGGAAAAATTGCGCGCCCGCAGGGCGCACACCAGGGGGTGGCGCCAACAACCCTAGTTAACACCCAGATACATTGCACCATTATGCGTCTACAAAAATTAAAAGCATACCATTCAGTTCATTTAAAAAATTGAAAACAAAACGGGAGCGCTGACATTCAAAACATTGTGGTAGTTGTTTTGTATAGCCAAGTAGAGCATATGGATGTCATTTGATACACCGCGTGGGGTCAGTAAGTTCTTAACAACCGTTTGATGAAGGATGGCTTTATGGCTTGCATCGGTCAGTGCCGAGAATGGCCGTGCGGCTTGGGCGCACCAGATGGCGCATAACTGTGGCACCTAGATTGTCCAAAATATCCGGTCTCAAATCTAAAAGTTCTGATTAGGTTTTGGATAGGGAAGTGCTTACCTCCTTTGGATGGATCTTCCCACTTGCTGTAAATCCATGATCGGCCAACTGTCGGTTTTCTTTGCTTTCTTTCTCTTTACGTTGACAGATTGATGCGTGCTTAAGGAGATTGCTACAAGAGGAATCGGAGGACGGGCGGTTTATCTTGGAGCCGCATCTGAATACGGTTTTCTTCATTAGCTAGGGATACAAATTCAGTGGTCATCTTCACTTACATTTTGCAAGTATATGCAATCATTCTCCTTCCGTACTTGTCCTTTTGGTTGGAAAGTTTGGGTATGTGATACGACTGGTAGCTTGAACTCACAGCATTTTCAGCAATTTTCTGAGCTCTTTCTACATGAAAAGAACTTAGAATTAGAATAAGGCTAAGTTAAATTGATTAATTGAGAGAAAAAACGTACTCAGCTCCTCCTCGTCAGTCAATCTCCTAGCGGGAACGATTCCTGATGCGGCCTGAGAGCTATTTGGGTTGTTTTCATCCCCAGGTTTATGGTCCTGTGTTGATGTGGTTCGTTTGTGGGGGCAAGGCATGACGTTGGTTGAGTATCAGTGGTTGGAATCAGTGGTTGGGTTGACAAGCATCTAGGTATATACATATCCATCTCCGAAGCGGACTAAGAGCCGGGGATACCTGCTCACCTCCGGGGGGCAGGCGGTACTTTGGGGCGGTACCCGGGTACCGCACCGCTTTTCTCCAAAAAATGGGCACCCGGCACCGCATCCGGCAACGCCTGGCGGGTGCGGGGCGGTACCCTCCTACGGGTGCCGGGTACCGCCAAACGGGTACCAGTCAACATTCTTTAGTTAGCACAGATTTCTATTTTAGGCCTTGTTTGGATGACATTTTTATATGGCATAAATTTTAAAGTTTAGCACAGAACTGCGGTATATGTTGAGATGGACCAGGCTGAGAAATGGAAGTCATGGCTGTGGAGTCTGTGAGAACTTAGAGTTTATTGCTAAGAAACAAAACCAGACTGAGAAGAAAAATACATAAGTGATTGAATAAAAGGAAGATCAAAATAAAGAAATGAATGAGAATTTACCACAACAGAACAATAGAATTGTTGAGAACAACTGAGAATGATAAACAGTGAAATAGAGGACACAGGACTGCAACATCATGATAACAGAGATGTTAGCGATGAAGATTAATTGTTGAGGAGAAGGATGCAGTGTATTCTCACCAAGTTGAATCAGACAAGTGATCCAATATAAGGGAAGCTCGACAAGGTCAATGGATGTAAGAGTGAGTTTGAGGAAGTTGATGGTTTTGAGGATGAGTTGAGAGTGTGTAAGGGAATGAGGATTGATGATGTTGAAGAATGAGGATTGACAATACTGGAAAAGAATCAGAAGAAGGATTGAGGAGAGCGGAATGGAAGTGGATGAAAGAAGGATTGAGGAGAGCAGAAAAGAGGGAGAGCGGAATGTGAGATTAGGTTTCAGATTGAGTGAGATTAGGTTATGATTGATGATAATTGTTGAGGATAATTGTTGAGGACAACTGTCAGACAAGGAGTTGCGCAAGGATCACAAGGAGTTTCAACAGAGTCTTGCCACAGGGACTGGACACAAAATTCAATTTAAACTCAGTGAGGAGTCCAAGATGGATTGGTGTGATCTAAGACTAAATAAAAAGTGTTGCTTTGATAGAAGCATACACTAGATATAAGCATCTTAACACTATATCAGATATGGTTATATATATCCATCATGAAATTTTGCGCTGAAATGTAAAACTTACAGCATATAACAATGTGCCAAAGTTGAAGAAATGGGGCCCTATTGCTTTGATTGCCTGAAAAAAAATAGCTATTGAGTTTTATCACTGGTGAGTTTTCATAGTCAGCTGATGGAAGCCACAAGATATCAAATGATTCTATTTCTCCAGGCTTATGAATAGGATATCTGCTGGAGGAGAGCAGAGGTCCAAGATCCCCCCCCCCTTATAAACATTCCAAACTCGGCACAGTAAAGCTTGAAGATACTCACAAGCCACAAGAGATGTTTCCCCCCCCCCCCCGTAGTTTGATTTTCTTTCATATTTGGAAGGTGCATGGATGTTAAATACTTCTGGTCTGTCAAACTTTCAGGGAAACCAATTCAAAGTTTTTGCTCATTAGAAGATTAAATGGACTCTTGAGCTAAATTGATTGGAGGAAACATGTGCATTCCTTCAGAAGTTTCAATTCATCAAGAGCAACAGTGGACTGATACATTGCATTACAATGGTTGGATGATATTTGTCCTGTATTCTTGTTGAAAATGTGTTATATTGTATTGCAAAAAAACCTTTGTTGCAATATGATAAAATGAAGTTAATTTTTTTTCCTAACCATTTTACATGTCAGACTGCTTTGATACAGACCAATACAACATCATTTTGATTGTATTGGTCCAAAAAAGGACCAAAACCCCCAAAATTGGCTGGTATTGGCCATTTTTTGGGCCAAAAAATGTTGTATTGTGTATAGATAAAGGCCTGCACTGCAACAGAAATAACACCCAATGGGGAAAAAATCCTGTATTGGTATCATATTGCTAAGGGTGATGATTAGTGCAGGCCTTTATCTATACACAATACATGTAAATTGATCAAAAAAAAACAATACTTTACAATACTGTAGAAATGCCAATAGCTGTATCTGTTTTGCCCCACCATTGTCAAGACATACAAAAATTATCACTGTTATTTATCATGACAAATAGAGCTTGTTACTTGGAGAACAATGATAAGCCCAATGCATAATTAAGATACATCTTGGGTATTGGTCTGACAATGTTTTGAATTTTTACTGATGTAAGAACAAAAGAATGTAAATATGCGAGCAGATGTAGCTTTTGTGTGGCTAGGTATAGCTGCACAGTTATTCAGATAGTGGAACATAGATATTGAGATTCCAAAAGTAATGATTTGCAGAAGGAAGAGGATTTGAGTGATCAAGCTCAAATATGATTGAGCATAAACAAAGGGAGTTGTTTAAACAACACCCAAGTATTTGTCAACAACTTTCAAAGACTGTTGACAGGCGTCTTTCAGGAGTCCAAATGGATTTCTGGCTAAGCAAGTCAGCCATCCAATTTTTTTGTTATCATTTCTTTTTGAATTGGGGGAGTCAGTTTCCCAAACCACCCCACATGCACAGGGGGTTTGGGAGTTGCTCCCATTTTACCGGAAGGAACCCCTTGGGAAATCCTCCAAGTCAATGAGCTACAACAATTCCATAAACCGGAAGGAATTCCTTCCTGTTGATGCCACAGTCACACATCAGTCCTTCTGGAAGTGGAAAAAACCCTTCCTCCCAGAGGAGGTCAGATCTTTTCCGCTCTCAAGCCAAAAAAAAGGTTTCTCACCAGAGATGATCTTTTTCCACTGTTGAGAGGGGGAAAAGAATTGACCCTTCCAGGTAGGCAGACTTTTTCCACTGTCAAAAGCAGAAAAATCCTCTGGGAGGCAATTTTTTTCTGTCTCTGAAGCTGAAAAAAATCAGCCTCCTTGGGAGACAGGTTTTTTATACTTTCAAGGGTATAAAAAAATCCAATGACCCTAGGTCTCTCACAATAAATGGGGGTTTGCAGAGGTTTAATAATCCTCAAAACAGGACCAACCGGGAGGGCCTCCAGCTGGAAAAATCTCACCTCTAGAATTGATGGGGGAGTGGGTGTGATCACACTGATTTCCCACTCCTCCAGTCAAAAAATTTCTAGCTAGGCAATTGCAACCCGCCATTGGCCAGGGACATCTCCCCATGCAGAGCAAGCCCCTGGAACATTTTGGACTTAAGAGGCAAGAATTAAGCAATTTGAGTGGCTGTGGGTAGATGAAATGAAAAGGTGAATGAGGTTGAAATTTGAAAGGTTATTTCAAAATTAGAAAATACTCAAATGAAGCATTGAGGTTTACACCATTTGATCTGCAATTCAGATGTCAGTGTGCCGTGTGACCAAATCAAGAGAAGGCAAATCAAACAACACAACATAAAATTGATTGGATTTAGTTTGGTGGGATTCAGTACCCACAGTGTTGGAAAATATGGGGGCAAACTTTGCCCCCATATTTTCCAACACTGTGGGCCTGGCCAAAGACAGTCATTGTAACATGTACAGTTACTTCTTGGATTGTAGATTATGTTGGCCACTCTTTCAAATACCATGATGAGCTCTTTTCATCTGTATCATTTTCTTTCAATATGTAATGTATTCTCCTTGTAAATGGGAACTAATGGCATTAGTGCAGTGCCATGGCATCATTTGAAAATGGGCATTTTTTCTGCT